GAGAGGGAGGGGGTGTGGAGTGAGTGAGTCAGTAAGACAGAGGGAGGGAGACAAGAAAAAGAGAGAGGGAGAGAAAGGGTGGGGAGTGAGTGAATGAGTGAGTGAGTGAGTGTATGAGTGAGTGTATGAGTGAGTGAGTGAGTAAGTGAGAGAGAGAGAGAGAGAGAGAGAGAGAGAGAGAGAGAGAGAGAGAGAGAGAGAGAGAGAGAGAGAGAGAGAGAGAGAGAGAGAGTGAAACTTACTAAATTGTCTCTAACAAATGGGTTGTACAGAAATAACTGTACAACTACTTTCAACTCTAGAAGAGATCTTGTACATTAGCTTTCCTCCATAAACTTTCAGATCCTTCTCATCCTACAAAGGACTGAAAAAAATTTATAACTTTTACATTCTCAAGAAACAGCTACTTCATTATCCTTAACTTTCAGGAACCAGTGTCTCTGGCACAGGTCTTTAAGATATTGCATTTCACCTAAAATAGCTGTTGAATATGAAACAAAATATACAAATATGAAAAGTATATATTAATTGTTTTAGGGCTGTCTATTCTCTTTCTTTGGCACATTAATTTAAAACAGTTGTTTTGTGTTAATTCATTCATTTTGATATTAATCTAATTCTACATCAGTGGAAAATCCTGTTCTCATTTCAGATGTGCAACCATCTTTAATATATATGAACTTACCATGTTTTCCAACAGTTAATGTATGAAATGTAACCTAAAAACTATGATATTCTTTATATAATAAGCTTAGATGCCAGATTTTTGCTTTGTCTATTTTTTTTCAAAATGTAATAAAAAATTATTTTACTTATTTTCAAAATATATATATATATATATATCTATATATATATATTTTTTTTTTTTTTTGAGAGAGAGAGAGAGGAAGAAAACTACTGTAAATAAGAAATAACAATAATTGTAAGACTAATGCTGGATTCATCAACCTATAAAATTATTATAAATTGTTAATCAATTTGAAATGTTACAGTAAAGAGAATGAAAACTTAAATAGAAGAAGTAATGTTGCTTTGAAGAAAATATATGTTTGCTGTAAAAAAAACATGTATATTACATATTTGTTGAAAAATTCTCTATAAATTGTATTTTCACATCTCTTTTACCACTTTCAAGCACAAATGTACTCATACAGAGCAGCAAAATATACTTGCATTTCAAAATGAATTCATCAATAAAAATTTCCTGCTTATAGAGAGGCCCATTGCTTCTTACTAGTAAACATACCTGATGCAAAGGTATGAGACAAAAAATTTGCCATGTATGATACACCAATATTCTACATGATCAATGTACAGACCAAGGCACCTTCCCAAATGGAAAAAGTTTGAAGGACGAATCAAAGGATCACATCAGATGACTGTGGCAGTACCTTGCAAACAAACAATCAACTGCCCATTATAATCATATTATATTGTTGGAAACCAAATCAGTTTGGGTTGAATGTAACATGGTAAGAAAAGATGAACTACCTGTTTACTGTGGATATTTAAGATATATAAAATATTTTAAAGGATAATATATATTTCTCCTATTCTAAGGGATGTCCTCATTCACTTCACACTGAAAAACTTAATCAGATATGCGTTATTGAAACATATGATACAGATAAAAAAGAGAAAAATAATTTTTTAAAGTACAATTGTCTTTTCAAATATAACAAACATTTTAGTTTTTGGAACATACTGCTGAATATATTTAATAGTGGTTTGATTGCATAGATTTACAACCATAGGATCTAGAAATTTTCAGAATCTGTTCAGCACCTCTTCTTTCTATACATTCTTATAAGTTTCTTATGATGTGCAGTCACCAAGATCATACGTATAATTATGAATCGAAAAAACTCTACCTTGTTGATACTACAGTAGAAAATCCGACAATGCACAATCAATAAAGCAATAATATTTTTTGTGCATTGTCCTACCATGAGCATGTAATAAGTAAACTACCGCTACATCTAACAAAGTGCTTATAGAGCCCAATTCTGCAAATCCTGTTATTAACCGCTGTGATGGCAATCAACCTGTTGGTCTGAATGACGCCAACTCATTATCGCTAGATCAGTGGACTCTTCCTCTCCGCCCTATCCTGATGCTTACAAAAAACTCCACTGTGACAAAGATAGAAAAGTTATGAATGAGAATTAATAACTTCACAGCACAAGAGATGCACTTGACACATTTTGATTATATCAATATCAGTATTTCATATGAAGACATAATTGCAGTGCATTAGATATATCGCTTGTACTGTGAAGATATTCCTTCTCATGCATACCTTTTTCTGCACCAGTTTCTAGCATGGCCCTGACTATCTCCCCCAGCCCAACAGGGAACTGAAGGCCAAAGGAGTGTCTCATATATTCTCTGAGGAATCTCCCAAGAAGTCATAGGTCCAGGAGAATTCCTTTCTATCATTTATCAGTGATGAGGTAACTAGTATGTTCCCATGGGATGAAAGGGTTAATGCAAAAATAGT